TTTGTTGTATGTTCGCTGAACCTTTCTGTATTATGATTTTCCAAAAGGAGAGAAAGATAACAGATTGTCTGATATATGAATGTTAACTTTGCCTGTGAGTGAAGGCCCACAGGGAACTCTCTGGCACAGGATTTCATTTTCTGGAGTGCAGTTAAGACAACGGAAGTGAAAATGGGCCAGTGAATCAAGAAGTAGGCTTCTTTCTTGATGATAAAACATTAAAATGAGAACTAGGTAAGAGGTAGGTACACACGTACATACATACACACACACACACGTGTGTGTGGACAGTCAGAGTGGTCGGCAGAATAATAAACCCCACAAAGATGCCCACACGCTAACCCCCGGACCCTGTGACTGTGCTACCTTACATGGCAAAAGGCACTTTGCAGAAGTGACGAAGGGTATGGGCCTTGAGATGAAGAAGCCCCGGTAGCACGGTGGTTAGCACGCTGCTGACCAGAAAAGGTCAGCGGTTCAAACTCACCAGCAGCCCCACAGGAGAAAGATGAAGCTGTTTGTGTCTGTGAAAATGACAGCCTTGGAAACCCTCTGGGATAGTTCCACTCTGTCACTTGGCATCACTATTGAGTCAGAATAACCCCTGGAGATGAGGAAATTATGCTGGGTTATCCAGGTGCGTCTGATCTAATCACAGGAATCCTTAAGCATGGATGCAGAAGAGTGAGTCAGAGAGATGCCACTGAAGAAGCAGGGAGGGAGAGAAGCATTCAAGGGACTCGACCTTGTTTTGAACAAGAAAGAAAACAAATATGAGTCAAGGAACTGAATTCCACCAACAGCCAGAAAGAGCAGGAAACACAGAGCCTCCAGAAAGGAGCACCCGCTGCCGACACCTGACTGGACTCCTGAGAGAGCTGTGCTGGACTCCTGACCTCCAGGATGACAGAAGTAGAGGTGTGCAGTTTCAAACAACACATTAAGTTTGGGGACATGTAATAGACAACTAAGATGGATAGAAAGATTAGAAAGATGCTAGACAGACAGACAGATAGATGGATGTTGTATTATTAGGTACCATTGAGTTGATTCGTCCATGTCATTCCAACAACTGTCATACAGGGTTTCCCAGGCTGCAGTCTTTCTTCACAGGGGGACCTCTGGTGATGCTATGGTTAAGCATTTGGCTGCTAATCCAAAGGACAGAGGTTCAAACCCACTACTTACTTCACAGGAGAAAGATGACGCAGTCTATTCCTGTAAAGATGACAGCCTTAGAAATCCTATGGTCCAGTTCTATTCTGTCTTCTAGGGGCGCTGTGGGTCAGAATCAACTCCACAGCGGTGGGTGTGGTTTGAGCTTTGTTTCCAGGAAGACGCACAGCCTTGGAAACCCGGTGGGGCAGTTTTCCTCTGCACTCTAGGAATCTGTGAGTTGGAGTCGACTCCATGGCAGTGGGTTTGTTTTTTTGTTTTGTTTAATCTTTACAGAAGCAGACTACCACAGAGCAGTTGGTTCCATGGGTTGGTTCCAACTTCCAGTCTTTCAGTTAGCAGCTGAGTGTTTAACCACTGAGCCACTAGGGCTCCTAGATAAAAAGATAGATCCCTTACTTATCCAAATGGAAGTCTTTCAGTGGGCTTTTCTGCAAAGCAACTAAATGTGAAACAGATCCTCTGTTATGACTGACTTACATCATAAATTGGGCAAAATTACCATATGAAAAATAGACACATTTCAACATGTGGAGGTGAAGTCTCTGAAGAGAAGAAACAAGCTCTATGTATGGCCTCCTGGACAGTGAATTGGAAGTGCTGTTAGAGCCACTGGTCACCTTTCAGCATTTTCCTACCTCTAGGACTCAGATGGAGTCCCTGGGCAGTGCAAACAGTGCACACACAGTTGCTAACCAAAACGCTGGGGGTTTGAGTCCACCCACAGGCATCTTGGAAGGAAGGCCTGGTGATCTACTTTTGAAAACTCAGCCATTGAAACCCCTACAGAGCACAGTTCTGCTCTGACACACATGGGCTCATCATGTGTGGGAGTCCACTCAGTGGCAACTGGCTGGTTACTTGGGACTCAGAACTGGTCCTGGCTCCGTGTTGCCAAAGACTGATCAGACACAAAAGAGATTCCTCAGAGAGAACATCTCTCTAGGAGGCTCTGCCACCTAACCCTGTCACTCCACCACCAGAAGACAAGTCTAATTTGAAGCTTCATGCAGCTAAAACTAATGGGTAGTTTCCTTTTCCACATCTTTGCAGTCAGAATGCTATAGAACCCATGGCTTGTAGGAAACTTGCCCTAGAGAGAACTCTTTCCTTATAAGCCCAGTGTCATATTCCCTTGGAGTCCCTGGGTGGCTCAAACAGTTAACACAGTCAGCCACTAATCAAAAGGTTGTAAGTTCAGTTCCATCCAGAGCCATCTCAGAAGAAAGACCTGGTGATTCACTTCTGGAAAATCAGCCACTGAAAACCCCACAATAACAGAAATTTTCGAGGTTGCTGAAAACAACACCAATACAGAACAAACTATTTCATAACTATGTGCAACCATAAAAGACTAGAAAACAAAATTTAAAAATAGAAAGATATACCATGTTCATGGATTGTAAAAACAGCAGTTCTCTCCAGATTGATTTGCAGGTTCAAGTAATCCCAAGAAAAAGCCAAGCAGGCTGAAAAGAGGAAGAAAACTTTGTGCCACATAGTTCCACCTGGACACACATGGGGTCACCGTGAGTCGGAGTCAGCTCAACACAAACTGAGTTGGTGCTTCCCTCTTAGGACCACAGCCACCTCAAGAGAAGGTGTATCTTCTGGTGCTGAGAGCAGTGTCTGCTCCTTGGAGGCCCTAGATGTGGTCATCCTACCAGATGGGCCCAGTGCCCCCTGGTCTTCATGACCTCATGTGGCCACCTCCACAATGAACAGGGTTGACCAGCATAACCCACAGGTGTCTGGATGGTGCAAACAGTTTGCACTCATCTGCTAACCAAATGGTTGGCAGTTCAAATCTACCCAGTGGTGCTGCAGAAGAAAGGCCTATCAACGTACTTCCTTAATATCACAGCCATAGAAAACCCCATGGAACAAAAATCTGTTCTGACGTACATGCAGTCACCATGAGTTGGAGTCAACTCCCCAGCAATGAGTTCTGTGGGTTGTGTAACCCCGAGGGGGTTGAAATGGCACACTGTGTCTTCTGAGGCTAGGTCAGGAAAACGTGGCTTAACCTTGCGTGCTCTGGGGTTACTCGATCTGGGGAAAGGAGTCCTCCTGTCAGGAAGTACCATGGCATGGAACAGGAACTCCAGAAAGCACTATGGGTCTGGGCACATGGTGGCTGGGTGCCATCGAGTCGATTCTGATGCAGTCACACCAAGTGAGTAGAACTGCTCCCTAGGGTTTTCTAGGCTGTAATCCACACCCATGGAAGCAGCAGTCAAGAAATCAAACAATATATGGCGTTGGGCAAATCTACTGAAAAAAAAAATCCTCTTTAAAGTGTTAACAAGCAAAGCTGTCACTTTGAGGACTAAAGTGTGACTGACCCAAAGCTACTGAATTTTCAACTGTCTTATGTGCATGTGAAAGCTGGACAATGAATAAGGAAGACTGAAGAAGAGTTGATGCTTTTGAGTTGTGGTGTTGGCAAAGCGCATTGAAGAGACCACGCACTGACAGAAAGACAAATAAGTACGTCTTGGAAGAAGCACAGCCACAGTGCTCCTTAGAAATGAGGATGCTGAGACTTCATCTTGCACTGTGGTTGTTAATCAGGAGCAAGCAGTCCCTGGAGAAGGATGTCATGCTTGTAAAGTAGAGGGTCAGTGAAGAAGAGGAGGACCCTTGACCAGATGGACTGACACAGTGGCTGCAACAACAGGCTCCAACCTAGCAGCGATTGTGGGGCTGGCGCAGGACCGGGTAGTGTTTCGTTCCGTTGCACAAGGGTCCCTGAGCTGAAGCCAACTCTGGCATCTAACAACAACAACAATCATGGAAGCACATCGCAAGCTCTCTCTCCTGGGGAGCTGCTGGTAGATTCAAAGTGTCAACCTCTTGGTTGGCAGCTGAGTGCTTCACTGTTGCACCATCGAGGTCCCTCCTGGGCACACTAGGGGTGCGCATTAGAGAAAGGGGAGAGATGGCAGAAGCAGGACAGAGGGGTCTTTACTGGGAGGGCAAGAGGTCACGGGCAGTGAGACAAAACTTTGTGGGAAAGGGAGGCCCGCAGGCAGGAGGGAGGTCCTGGTTACAGGCTTTGCTCTTCATCCGTGGGCAGTGGGTGCCCAGAAGTGAGGTCATCAAACAGGGACACAATAGATGTGGCATTCAAATCCACGCACCCTCCCATTTGCTGTCAGTAGACAGTGTGGGCACACATCACAGAGCAAAGTCCAGAGGGGCGTCCACCTGAACGTTAACAGCACTCATCTCCTGGTGCTGAGGTCACTCAGATGTTTTATTGTCTCCTCTCTGCTCACCTGTATCTTCTAATTTTTTGGCAAAAGGTGTGCATTGCTTGCATAATTTTAAAAAGCAATAAAAGCTGTAAACATTAGCCCTGTCTTTCTTCAGGGCTTACACTGAGTGGATGGATCTTCAAACCAGCTCTTTCCAGTGTTTGGTGGACTCCTGGCCTTACAAAGGCACCACTGATGGCAGGCAGTGGGGCTGCGCTGGGTGGGTGAACAGTGAACTGCATGCACTCTTTTCCCCTATACACCAGACCTCACTAGACAGGAACTCTGTCTCCAGAGCACAGAACTGCCTTTTGAGTCTCATGCCAAGTTCTTCATGGGAGCTGGGCTGAATCACATTTGCAGGTCCTGAAACTGGACCTGTATGGACATGAGCAAGGGGGCCACTCGCCATACCTTGTGGGATGGGTCCTCAGTTTCCTCTGCCTGCTGCTCCCATGTGACATCTTCGCCCTCCTCCGACGCAGTCTTTTCTTCTGCTCATGCTTAGACACCCAGTCCTGGGACGTCATCCCCGGGGCTACAGGGCAGGAGAGCTGAAAATACCAGGCATGTTGGCATCATATGTGATGGGGACAACCCCGAAGGGCTCTCTCTCCGCAGACAGGGTGCCTGTCTGGGGAAATCAAAGTACAAAAATGCAGCTGACCAGACAGCTGCAGAGTGTTCCTAGGCAGAATCTTCTGGAACTCTACCTGGGCTGGACCCACCGAGGGAAAACCAGACCTTTCGTGTTAACTGGGGGCCAGGGAACACCATGGGCAGCTCCTTTGCCTCCACCCACTCCAGCTACCCAGGCACCATGTCTGATTCCTGATTGACTTTTGGAAGGAGTGCTGGGCTGGGTTTGAAGTGCCCCTCTCTCAGTTCTACACAACTATTAATTCACCACCCCCAGGGTGAAGAAAGTGCCACCATGCTCGCAGGCTCTGCCTGGGGACAAAGGGGGCAGCCTGCAAGGCTCCCAACTCCAGACCCTTGTCATTACTCTGTAGGGTTTGATTAGGAGTGAGACTCTGGGATTCCTCGCCATAGCAGGAACAGCACCTCCAACTACAAAATCCAGATGCATAGACTCACTCTCCAGCTGGGACTCTAAGTTTGTCCTTTAGTCACCAAGTGAGAGCTCCCTTCAGCACCCATCCCATGCTTCTTTTTGCCAATCAGAGCAATTACTTCCCCAGCACAATGGCTCTCAGTAAGCGTCGCCACCTTATCACCTTAGATTGCCCACATTCCTCCCTTGGGCAGTGTTTCAGTCCCCTCTTTGCTTCTGTTACCAGGAAGCTCAGAGTTAAGCATTATGCCTAGTTATGAAAACTCTCTCACCCAGACTTAATGATAATTCTTTCCTTTGAAACTTACTTTCTGATGACTTTTTAGTCTACTTCTACCTTTTGCCCTAGGGCTCCCCTGCCCTACACGTGGCTGCCCAGATGCCCCTCGGATGTCATTCGCTACCGGTGCTGCTGGGTCACCCTGCTCCCTCTGCCTTCAAAGGCCTGCCTGGCTAATCAAGTGCTCTCAGCCCCAGGGCCCCGGGCAAAGATGGGCCTTACCTTGGACATCTGCACAGGCCTCAGGTCTCCCCGGCTGGTCACGGGCCATTCCTCCGGACCTTCTTCCCGGGGGCCGGCCCCAGGGAGGTGCAGAGACGAATACACAGACGAGGCTGTCCCCTTCTGCTCCGAAGGCAGGGGGAGGCTGCGGCTCAAGCAACACCACGTCAGCCGCAGTTCCGACCCCAAGGAGGGGAAGGGCCCCTTGGTCCCACAGCTCCTGGGGTTCCCTGAGTGGGGAGGCAAGGTTGGCTCAGGCCAGGCTGGCGGCTGTGTGATGGCTGAGAGGAAGGGACCTGAGGGAGGGTCTTCTGGGGCTTTCTCCCAGACAGGTGGCCCAGGATTTGGGGTACCCCCAGGGGGCCTGCCCGTCACCATTGTGCTGCCTGAGCAGAGGGGGCGGACTGTGGTGACCTCACGCTCCATGGCCCAGGCCAAGCAGGGGCCAGATGTGGTGGGGGGTGGGATAGAGGCTGGGCCCCGGGGTCCCAGGGTGCTCGTGTCCCACTTGTCCCCTCTCTCCTCTCCCACCTGAGTCCCTTCCACCCCATCCCGTGCCCTGGACCAGTCGGGGTCCTTGTTGATACTATCTGCCTCTCCTGGGGTCCTGCCTGAGGCTGGCCCAGGGGACAGAGGCATCCCCCTCCCTGACCTCACAAAGGGAACCCGTTCCTCAGGCCACCATCTCCTGCAGAGAGAGTCCTGACCTTGCTCACTCCTCCTTGGGACTGGCAGCTCGGAGGAGCTGTCTCCCTGAGGTAGCCTAAGGAGGTACTTCGGGGTGAAGGCATTATCTAGAGCCCAAGGCAAGGCTACCAGCTGGGAGCTGCTCCCATCTGGGACTTGGGGATAATACCTGGGGGACATGGCTGCAGGATGCATTGGGGGCTTCTTGGCCCTGGGCCCGGCCTGCCTCAGGACAGTCAGAGAAGAAGCTGAGGAGGCACCAACAGACGCCCTGTGCAGGTCCTTCCCACCCCTCTTGCAGTCAGCACTCAGGAGCAGCCCCGTTGGCTTCTCCAAAGGCTCGCTGTCCCAGGCCCAGGCCAGCAGGGAGGCAGCCTGCACTGGCACCTCAGGGCTCCCTCCTCTCTCGCTTCCCACTCCTACAGCCTCAGACCGGCCCTGGCCCCCAAGGCCTTCCACCTTCACCTTCTTCCTCTCCGAGGGCAGCCTGTCTCCCATGGCCAGGCCGTGACTGGGACCACTGCTGGGCAGCCCCAGGGTGCTCTGGGCCCAAGCGTGGGTCTCCTCTCCCACGTCACTGCAGCCAACTCTTTCCTGCTTGGGGTCTCCAGGATCACCTCCTGGGGACAGCTTACCCCCTGGCTCAAGCCTCCTGTTTGGAGGATGTGGAGGGCTCCTGTGGCCCAAGCAGGGGGGGTCTCGGCAGCTGAGGGTTGGGGGTGCCATGACCTCATTCAGCCCAGGCTCATCACTGCTTCCTGATCTGCTCTTGGGGGGCTCAGCCAACAAGGAGAACTCTGGGGCCATTGGACCTCCCCAGGATCCTGGCAAAGACCCGGAAGACATGCCCGCAGGAGGGAGAACATCCTCACAGACAGGGGTCCTAGCCTCCCCACTGACGGGGGTCCTCACATCCCCACAGACAGGGGTCCTCACGTCCCCACTGACGGGGGTCCTCACATCCCCACAGACAGGGGTCCTCACGTCCCCACAGACGGAAGTCCTCACATTCCCACAGACGGGGGTCCTAACCTCCCCACAGACAGGGGTCCTAACCTCCCCACTGACGGGGGCCCTCACATCCCCACAGACGGGGGTCCTCACATCCCCACAGACAGGGGTCCTCTCATCCCCACAGATGGGAGTCCTCACGTCCCCACTGACGGGGATCCTAACCTCCCCACTGATGGGGGTCCTCACATCCCCACAGACGGGGGTCCTAACGTCCCCATTGATGGGAATACTCATGTCCCCACAGGTGGGGGTTCTCACATCCCTGCAAATGAGGCTTGTTGCATCCCCACAGATGGGGGTATTTGTGTCCCCAGAGATGGGGGTCCTCATATCTCTGCAGACGGGGCTTGTTGCATTCCCAGAGACAGGGGTCCTTGTGTCCACACAGACAGGTGTCTTCATGGCCCCTGTCTGCATGGCCTCTGCCTGGGGAAGTGGGTCCACTCTCACCTCCCCAACCTTCTTCCCTCCATGGGGGCTAGCTTTGCCTTTCTGGTAGATTCTCTTGAAAGTCTCATCCCCGTACACCTGCCACTTTTCCTGGGAGAACATCTTCAGCTTCCTCTGGCCACCTCTCTTCCCAGACACCCTGCCCCTGCTGGCCGCCCCCTCCCCTGCAGTGGTCTTCTGGGGGTCCTCTGTGGGCACCGGTCTCTCCCCGACAGGGGTGCTGGGCAGGTCCTCCACAGCGGCCTGTCGGACCAGGGCCCGGGGATGACTGCTGGGAACAGCAGACAAGACTGGCCCCAGGCTGCAGCCCAAGTGGGCTGGGGCGAGCCTGGGGCTCAGTGGCCTCTGCCTCCGAGGGCAGGCCTCCTGGGGGTCTGGTCCCCACTCCCTCCACGTCCGGGAGCTCTCGACGAAGGGCAGCGAGTTGCTCCTGGTGACAGGCACACAATCCACAGTGGTGGAGAACTGGGTGGGGACAGAGTGGAAGGACAGGGGCCGTGCCTTGTCTGGCGGTGTGCAGGTGGACCGGGCTGAGCCCACGGTGGCCGGCCGCCTGCGCCCGGGCTCTAGTGCGCGCATGTCGAAGTGGAAGGAGTCTTTGTAGGTGTAGGGCATGGGCAGGTCGATGCTGCCCTGCTTGGACAGCACGGTCTTGCGGGGCCGCACGGTGTCCAGCTGTGGGTCGTCCACCACGGCCTGGTTGTGTGAGATGAGCTGGGCTATGTGCTCCTCCAGTCGCTTCTTCTCCAGCTCTGGGCCCCCCTCGGCGCTGGGCTCTGGCTGGCTGTGCAGGGGGCTGGCGGGCACCAGCGGCTGCTCGGCACTGTCCGAGCGGGACAGGTAGCCCGAGTCGGAGCTCTCGCACTTGCGCAGCCGGCCCTCCGAGCCCTTGGCATCCCAGGCCTTCTCCCAGGACGTGGCCTGTTGCCGCTGCAGCGGACACAGCTTGCTGGCCGCGGGAGACTTCTGCTCTGGCAGCTTCCACGGCGGCTGCAGCCCGATGGAGTCCAAAGGGCCCTCCCCGTCAGCAAACGTGGATCCTGCACAGGGAGCAGCTTCCGGCTGTGTGTCCAGGCTCTCAGCCACCAGGGCCAGCTGGGCAGCGGACAGCAGGCAAGGCCCCCGAGAAGGGGGTCTCTCGGCTGCCCCAGTGCCCTCAGTCTGGCTGCAACCGTCCCCGCTGCCGTCCACTCTGGGGCCCCCTCCAGCCCCGGCCCCCTCGTCTGGGGGGCCGCCACCCCCATCAGGCCCAGAGCAGCGGCGTGAGTTGCTGAGGTGCGTCTGGGTGCGTCTGTGCTTGTACAGGTTGCTCTGCGTCTTGAAGGCGATGCCACAGGTGGAGCAGGGGAAGGGCCGTTCGCCCGTGTGCGAGCGGATGTGCTTCTCCAACACGCTGGGCTTCAGGCAGTCTCGGCCGCAGTGCGGACACAGGTACCGGCCAGCACTGCGCACCTTGCTGGGGCTGCCCAGCGGGGCTCCCAGGCCCGGCGACAGCAGGGGCAGAGCACCGACCAGGTTCAAGGTGAGCATCTGGGCCGGTGGCTTCCCCACCGGAGCAGACCCGGACCCTTCAGGCTGTGGCAGGGGACTGAGGATTAAGGGCAGGCTGGCCCCGTCCAGGCTGCTGGGCACGAGGGCAGCACGAGAGTGCAGGGCGCGCGGAGGCACCATGTGATACAGGGGGATGGGCAGGGCCTTCAAGAACACAGCAGGGGCCGAGCTCTGCTCTGGTGGCAGGAGGATGGGGCCCAGGGTCAGGCGAGGTGAGGCTTGCCCACCAGGGGCCCCAGAGGGGCCTGGAGCAGGCTGGTCCCTGGCGGGCGGGCCTCCATCCCACATGGTCCAACAACCTGCCGACAACAAGCGAACGTTACCATGCGGTAAACAATTACCTGCCCCGCTGAAGCCTAACAGCAGCTCCCACCCCCAAAGAGCCCTCTCCCTTTACCCAGGTGGGAAACAGGAAACCGAGGCCCGTCATGCAGCCCACAAGCAAATGCAACCATTGCCGTGGAGTCGACCCGGCCCATAGCGACCCCTCATTGGGTTTCCAAGGCAGTATCACTGCGGAAGTAGATTGCCCAACCTTCCTTCAGGGGAGTGTCTGGTGGATTTGAACCACCAGCCTTCTGGTTAGCAGTCAAGTGCCTTAGGCACCAGCAGGATTCAAATCCCAGTCTGTCTGAACCCTGCCTCCCAGTCAACACGTGAAAAGGTGACTCAATCTTTCCTGCACTCCAGGTTCTACTGCTGGTCCCCAGCACCCACTGTGGGGTCTCCTCTGCCCCAAACTGTGCTGCTGTCACAAGCAGGAATGTTGTGCAGCTCATCAGGGCCCTTGCGGTCTGGGGGGGGGGCGGTTCTGTGCACTTGGGCAAGTCCGTCTCATTCTCTAGGACTCAGTTTTCAGATCTGTGAGCCTCTCGGAGAAACGTGTGTCCAGGAAGCTTCTTCCATGCCTGGTCCCTCTCTGGAGACATGGGACCAACATCCAATTCTGAGTCCTAACCAACCAATCAGTTAACACCGAGGTGACTCCAACACTCAGCAACCCCGTGTGTCAGAGCAGCACTGGGCTCCACAGGGTTTCAGGGGTTGTGTTTTCAGAAGCAGATCACCAGGCCTTTCTTCCAAGGCATGTCCAGGTGTACTCGAACCTCCAACCTATAAGTTAGCAGCCAGGTGCATTCACCAATTATTTGCACCACTCAGGGACTCCCCTCTTCACCACCTAGCCCAGCAATATTCTTTGGTGCAATGTGCAGCTTTATAGAGGAGAGGGGAACAGACAGGGAAGAAGTGACTCTTTCCAAAGTCCCCCTCCCCAAAAAAAGACCCCACTAATGGGATTGGGGAAAGAAAGAACCTGAAATGACACAAATATGTTTTTTAAAATTCACACCTAGACAGCTAATAACCAAAAAAGAGCAAAGGTGGCCATACTGATATCAGACAAAACAGCCTTTAAGGAAAAATCTATTACAAGAGATAAAGGAGGATATTACATAATAATAAAGGATCAATCCTCCAAGAAGATATAACAATTATAAACAACATGCACCTATCATCAATGCTCCAAAATACATAAAACAAATACTGGCTAATAGGAAAGGCGAAATATATAACTCCACAATAATAGTTGGGGACTACAACACAACATTTTCAATTCTAGATAGAACATCTAAAAAAAAAAAAAATCAGTAAGGACATTGAAGACTTAAAACTATAAGCCACTTTGACCTAATGGACATATAGAACTTTCGACCATTCAGCAGAACAATACACATTCTTCTCCAGCACACATGAATCATTTTCTATTTGTTCATGTCTTAACAAATTTTAAAAGACTGAAATCACACGGAGCATCTGTTTGGACTATAATGGTATAAAGCTAGAAATCAACCATAGGAAGAATAATGAAGAAAATAATTACATGGAAAGTAAGTAACATATTTGTGGGGGGAGGGGAAGATTGGGGTCATGGAAGAGATCAAAAGTGAAAGTAAATAACACATTTGCAGGGGGGAAAATGATTGGGGTCATGGAACAGATCAAAAGTGAAATTTGAAAATACTTGGAATGAAATCTTTGGGGCACAGCAAAAGCAGTGCTCAGAGGGAAATTCATAGCAGTAAATGCCTAGATTAAGAAGAAAAAAGATGCAAATCAATAACATAAGCAGACTACTTAAACAAATAAAAAAAGAAGCACAAAGCTAAAGCGAAGATTAAAAGACAAGGAGGGCAGGGAAAGTAGAGTACTGGAAACAGAACAACTAAAATGTAATGAATTAACAAGAATGTGGACACATTGTGAAAAATGTAACTAGTGTCACTGAACAACTTGTGTAGAAATTGTCAATGGGAACCTAATTTGTTGTGTAAACTTTCACTGAAAGTGCAATGAAATATTATTTAAAAAATAAATATTTTTAAAAATTCACACTTGGGGCCCTGAAGGAAAAGACCAAAAGAAAGATATTAAATAGATTGATCACCACTCATCTACCAGTTTGTTGTACTGTGGTTATCAGTTTGTTATATTGTGCTGGCTGCATGTTGCTGTTATGCTGGAGGCTATGCCATCAGGATTTCAAATACCAGCAGGGTAACCCATGATGGAAAGGTTTCAGTGGAGCTTCCAGATTAAGACAGACTAGGAAGAACCTGGCAAACTAATCCTAAAAGTCTTGGCCAGTGAAAACTTCATGAATAGCAGCAGAACACTGTCTGACATACTGCCAGAAGATAAGCCCCTCAGGTCGGAAGGCTCTCAAAATATGACTGGGGAAGAGCTGCCCTCTCAAAGTAGAGTTGACCTTAATGACATGGATGGAGCGAAGCTTTCAGGACATTCATTTGCTGATGTGGCACGACTCAAAATGAGAACCAACGGCCACAGACATCCATTAATAACTGGGACGTGGAATGTACATAGTATGAATCAAGGAAAATCAGAAGCATCAAAACTGAAATGGAACACATAATGATCACTATCCTAGGCATTAGTGAGCTGAGGAATTGGCCATTTTGAACTGGACAATCACACATGTACTATTTTACCAAGTATGATATCCTTCTGCAGGGGTTGGCTCCTTCTGAAAACATAACCAAAGTATGGCCATTCTCACTTCTCAGGAGCATTCTGGCTTGGTAAAGTAGTGGGTCAGCAAAAAACGGGGAAGGCCTTCAGTGAGACGGCCGGACACAGCGGCTGCGACAATGGCCACAGTGTAGCGACAATGATGAGAACGGTGCAGCCCGGGCAGGGTTTCGTTCTGTCGTACACAAGGTTGCTACTAGTCAGAACCAACTGGACGGCACCTCACAACATGTACAATGCCAGGAGTGACAAACTGAGAAGGAATGACATCACGTTCATCATCATAAAAAACATTTCAAGATCTACCCTGAAGTACAAATGCTGTCACTGGTGGGATAATATCCATATGCCAGTTAACATGACTATTATTTAAATCTTTGCACTAACCACTAATGTCACAGATGAAGAAATTGAAAATTGTTACCAACTTTTGCAGTCTGAAACTGATCAAGCATGCAGTCAAGATGCATTAATAATTACTGGTGATAGGGATATGAAAGTTGAAAACAGAGAATAATCAGTCATTGGAAAATTTGACCTTGGTGATAGAAACAACACCCGGAGATCCCAGGATAGAATTTTGCAACACCAATGACTTATTTTTGCAGATACCTTTTTTCAACAACATAACTGACAACTATACACATGGACCTCATCAATGGGATACGCAGAAAGCAAATATACCACATCCATGCAAAAAAGATGATGGAAAAGCTCAACATCATTAGTCAGAATAAGACCAGGAGCTAACTGAGGAACAGATCATCAACTGTTCATGTGTAAGTTCAAGTAGAAGCTGAAGAAAATTAAAACAAATCATTGACGGCCAAAGTACCTCACTGGATTTAGAAAGCATCTCAAAAATAGATCTGACTAACTGAACGCTAGTGACTGAAGATCAGACAAATTGTGGGATGACATCAAGAACATTATCCATGAAGAAAGCAAAAGGTCATTAAAAAGACAGGAAAGAAAGAAAAGACCAAAATGGATGTTAGAAGAGACTCTAAAAGTTGCTTTTGAATGGAGAGTAGCCAATATGAATAGAAGAAATGATGAAATAAAAGAGCTGAACAGAATATTTCAAAGGGCAGCTTGAGAAAACAAAGTAAAATATTATAATGAAATGTGCAAAGACCTGGAGTTAGAAAACCAAAAGGGAAGAACATGCTAAGCATTTCTTTAAGCTGGAAAAACTGAAGAAAAAATTCAAACCACGAGCTGCAATACTGAAGGATTCTAGGGGCAAAATACTGAATGATGCAGGAACCATCAAAAGAACATGGAAGGAATACACAGAGTCACTGGACCAAAAAGAATTGGTCAACATTCAATCATTTCAGGAGGTAGGACATGATCAAGAACCAATGGTGTTGAAGGAAGAAGTCCAAGTTGTATGCACTGAAGGCACTGATGAAGAACAAGACTCCAGGAATTGACAGACTACCCATTGAGATGTTTCAACAAATGGATGCAATACTGAAAGTACTCAGTCATCTATGCCAAGAGATTTAGAAGACAGCTACCTGGCCAATGAACTTGAAGAGATCTATATTTATGCCCATTCCAAAAAATGACAATCCAACAGAATGCAGAAATTATCAAACAGTGTCATTAGAACACATGCAAGTAAAATTTTGCTGAAGATAATTCAAAAATGGTTGCAGCAGTTCATAGATAGAGAACTGCCAATTCAAACCAGATTCAGAAGAGGACATGGAATGAAAGATATCATTACTGATGTCAGATAGATCTTGGCTGAAAGTATAGAATATCAGAAAGAGGTTTACCTGTGTATATTTTTGAATATGCAAAGGCATTCAACTCTGTGGATCACAACAAATTATGGATAACATAGCAAAGAATAGGAATTCCAGAACACTTTATTGTGCTCATGAGGAACCTGTACATAGACCAAGAGGCAGGCAGTCAGTCGAACAGAACAAGGAGACACTGATTATTTCAAAATCAGGCAAGTTGTGCATCAGGGTTGTAACCTTTCATCATAGTTATTCAATCTGTACTCTGAGCAAATAAGCCAAGAAACTGGATTATATGAAGAAGAACGTGGTACCAAGATTAGAGAAAGATTCATTAGCAACTTGTGATATACATATGACAAAACTTGCTTGCTGAAATCAAAGAGGACTTGAAGCACTTACTGATGAAGATCAGACTATAGCTTTCAGTATGGATTACACCTCAACACAAAGAAAACAAAAATCCTCCCAACTGGA